GGATACTTTGTTTTGTGTCTCAATGACTTTCTGGATCAAATGTGTAGAAGTAAAAACATACCTTTTGTAACTGCCAGGGCTGAGATTTGGGCTCTGAAAGTCGAACCATCTTTTCCTTTTCTACAGTATCCCTATCAAAGGGATACTGCAGGCCAGATAAGATCTCTATTACGTATGTTAACCCTGTGTGCACCTTACAGCTGTTGCAATTCACTGTTTTCTGAAGGGTTGTCAACCTATAGCTGACTGAATTGCTTTTAAATTGTAATTACTCCAACAGGGATGGCATTCTGTCTTGGGAAATCTGTTGGCCATTGCTTCTAGATCTGTAAGGCCTAACTGGGATAAAATAAACAGAATATTTTGTCACTAACGTGGGGCTGCCTGAGTAAAGCTAGGAAGCAGATCTGTTAAAAAGGATCATGTTATGCAGCATTGGTCAGGCTGCAGTTGGAGTACTGTGTCCAATTTTGGGCGCCAGACTTCAAAAGGGATGCGGAGAATCTGGAAAGGATTCAGAGGAAAGCCACTCATATGATTAGTGGCCTTCACGCAAGACCCTACGAGGGGAGGTTGAAGGATCTGGATCTCTTCAGTCTTCACAAGAGACGGCTGAGGGGTGACCTTATAGCTGCGTATAAGTTTATCAAGGGAGGACAACAGAGAATTGGAGATGCACTATTTACCAGGGCACCCCTAGGAGTAACTAGGAATAATGGGTACAAACTAGTGGAGAGTAGATTCAGGTTAGACATTAGGAAGGAATTTTTCACAGTAAGGGTGGGCAGAATCTGGAATGGGCTGCCAAGAGAGGTGGTGCTCTCACCTAACTTGGAGGTCTTCAAGAGGAGGCTAGATAGACACCCTGGCTGGGGTCGCATGACCTCAGCGCTCTTTCCTGCCTGGGGCAAGGGGTCGGACACAATGATACTTTGGGGTCCCTTCCATCTCTACTATCTATGAATCTGTGTTCCGTAGTTTTTAGGATAAAGCCTCATTTTAACATCTAAAGTTGTGATACCAGTCCCAGTGTAGAAATGTGATCTGTGTTGCTTTAAGAATGAGTAAGAGCAATTAAGGCTTGTTGCATGTTAAGTAGAAGTGTTTCAAATATGTTAATCCTTTTTCCAACCCTCTTTGAAGTACACATTGAGTCCTTTCACAGATGGGGAAATGTATACAATGAGGTAAGTGATTTACCCAGAGTTTGCAAGTCATGAGAGTGGCTGGATTAGAATTTAGGAGCTTTGACTCTCATCTGCCTGCTTATTCACCACCGTGGTGCTTAGACAGTAGAGCAGAAATGCCTTCAGCAAGTTCAGTCACTTGCTGTGGGTAATTCCCTTCATATCTAATCTCTCTGTTTTTAATGATAGGGCTCAGTGACCTACTTGTGACCAACTGTTCTATTGTCAAAATTGCTCTTAGGAGCAATTGCTGGTAGAAAGCTTTTCCCCCTTGTATCTAATCTGCACTTGCCTTTTGTAAATTCATGACTTCCTGTTATAAGCTTCGTCAACCTTTAACTTTTTCCCTCCTCTATATTATTTCCTTATTCTTGTAGCTGTATATATACAGTAGGGTTTTTTTTCTCTTCTTTTTCTTTGCTCGAGGTAGTGTATGGAAAAAGTATTTTTATCTTATGCAGTTTCCTTCCTGAAGTTGGATTACTACAAGTAACATGGCAAATCTTTTGGAAATCGGCTTGCTCCGTATTGCAGTAAACACAATTGCTTTCTGCACAATTTTCCCCTCGCTCCAAGCATTCTGGTTTTTCTTTCTTAGGTAACGAGAATACTGAGAAGCTGCGTATCGCCTCTGTGTACTTTTCCACTTTTTGGCATAGGAAACTACTTAAAGCTTCTATATTCTTCCTTGGATGTATGGACTACATGCACTTGAACATACAACTGGATAATAAAAAAAATTAGATATATAGAAAAGAATTGCAAAGCAAACTCTCTCCAGTCAGGAATAGGCAAAATGGAAGTTGGGTATTTGCCATCCCCATCTTTGTTACCTGATGCAGTGTTACGTGTCTCATTCCATTTCTCAAATAGTGTTTCAGCAGACAGTTTATCTTTTCTTCCACATTGCCATACACTTTATATATGCATCCAAACTGTGTGCTCTTTTCATGTACACTTTAGTGTAGTGGTGCCTTTATTGCAATTGGAGCACCTATCTGTTAACCTGAAACAAGATATAATGAGTAATTCCTAAGTTTTTTTTTAAGTATAATTAAAGATAATGTGTCAAGAAGCTAATTGGAAGTAAGGTGCCCTTATTATAAAATATAGACATCTTGTCCAGGTAATAGTCCTGCCTCTTCTCCTGTGTGTGTGTCATAGGAAATACATATCATAGGAAAGCAAGTGGACTCTGCTAATGCTGCGGTACATGCTGATACAACTTTTATTATTTATAAATTAATGTAGATCCAAGTTCTATAGGTCTGGGCATTCGCACCCAATTTTCACAAAAGCACTCGCAGGTCTCTCTTAACCTGTTGTTCAAGAAATATTCCAACAATATTGCAGGTTTTTATTTATAATCACATTCCTACTCCCTAAAACTTGGAATTGTCTTCTGTTTAAAAAATTGCTTATAGTTTTAGAACAAGAGTTAAAGTTATAAGCAGCTGGAAATGCCATTTTAGAGTGGAAACAAAGACTGTCAGGTTTTTTATTACCGCCATGACATGATTTTGCTTAAGAATACGTGGAGACAAAGAGACCAAAAGAGACTTGACACTTGCATGCTAGGAGGCAAAAGGGAAATGTTGTAGAGTAGAAAATAAAAATCTCTACCTGTTTGTTTTTTTTGTTTTGTTTTTTTAAAATGGGAATATAGTCATTGGTGATATATAGGAGGTGCACATGCAACCCCTGAGATTGGCGATGCACTTCCTTGAAAGAAGTGATACCGACACTGCCAGCGGCACCTGCAGGTGGTCACCACCCCCGCCTTGCCACCAACACCACCATGGCCGCTTGCAGGAACTTCCCCCTGACACCACTGCCTGCGGGCAGTCGCCATGCCCCCAGCCTCCGGGGGCACACGTTCAGGAATATAGTGCTGCTGATAGATATTTGATTGACAGCCCTTTGAAATTGAGGTAATCCCTGGTGTTTTTGAAAGTGCTTCTGTTCTGCACTGGATGGGCCACATCAAAGGGTGAAACGATGAAAGATGATTCCAGTCTCCAAGTCTATTTAGTCATTGATAGGCTTGCTTATCAAGAGGGAAGGTTTCAACATGTGATTTTGTCCTTTTGTAACTAGATGTAGATTCAAAATAAAACCACTTCATGGGAGAAAAAAGAGGCCAAGTTCCTCACAGGTCTTAAGTTTGAGTAACTGATTGCAGTTCACTTGTGATGAAAATCAGATTAGTTTTCCATGTCAACTACTGTAGAATAAGCATCGTAAGCAGTTCCATTTTTGCAGTACAGCTTTGTGATGATATTCCCCTTCTCCCTCCAGTGGGATACTATGGCAAGATGACCTCACAGATCTAAGGTCAATAAATTCTAAGTCTGAACTTTCATTTGCAGGAAGCTAAAAGAGAAACCAATTCTGCAGCAACTTATTCTGCTGTCTGCAGAAAGAAGGTGGTGTCCAAGGGCGTATGTTGTAGACTCCACTATGTTACCAGGATAAACAGACCTCATCTATTGGAGTTAGGCTTATTGCTATCTAGAGAAGTTTACAGTATGTAGTTGTTTGTCTCCCGTTCTACACCTCTGTTAAGATGTAAAATAGCAGATACTGAACTGGAATCTAACTTGAAAGCCATTGGAAAGGGCTAGGTGTCATCTTAGAAACGAAGAATACTTCCAGCTAGCCCAACATCCTATTTCAAAAGTCATTTAAATACCTTTGAAAATTTGACACTCGTGTTTTTCTTTTAGCTGTTAATCGGCCCAGATCATTATTCTTGCATGTGAAAAACGTGTCTCTTTATTCCAACACTCCAACATCCAGTTGTTTCTACCTTTGCCCTGAGATTACTGATAATCTTTGCCAGTTGGCACCAGCAGATAGCAGATTTATAAATATTTTATATCTATACTAACATTTCTCAACCCTTCTATGTATGCTACACGTTGAGCAGAGGGCGTTTAATTCTGTCTCTAGAGAGCTAATACATGTGAATAGGGCAGGGCTGGTATGAGAGACTGACTTCAAACTGTCATACACTCCCCAACCCACAACTGGTCCCTTGTGTGCCTTTACCAGTATTATATATAACAAAAATTGCACTTTGCCATGACGGGTTACCTCTGTGCAGAAGAGGCTCAGCTATAATATAGCAATATTGTGCTGCATTGAAACAGCTATTTTGGAGAGCCTACGCAATAGCTATCTACATCCTGAATTCCAGAAAAGCACGTTAGGCACATACCCAATTTTATGTATATGAGCAGATGCTTTTCTGAATAGGGTTCCTCCGAGTCTGTAGTCTTACTGCAGTGTTGCTTTTTGAGTAGGAGATTTCATACAAAATTAAAAGGGGTTTCCCAGGGAAGCTAAAATAATGGCAGTAGTTTTGCTTGGGCCACAGCCTGCACTTCTTTTATTTTGAAAACCTACTCTGGAGATGTACATAAATTAATGAATGTAGTATGGGCATCTCCCATGTATTATTTTGAATATTTACCTCTTAATGACCAAGTAATTTAGAAGGAAGTGTCTGTGTGACAGGGTAGAGGAAGGGCCAGACTTTTTCAGTACTTGCTTCCCAAAGGTTTCTTCCTTTTCAGTTTGTATTGTGTGCTGTCAGAGAGAGGACACAGAGTGAGGCAGTATGTGGTGGTGTTGATGGTGTGGTGCAAGATCCTAAATGGGAAAGACATTTTATTATAAATAACTGTGTAACTTATCATAAATATAAGTAAGCAATCAGAAGGTAAAATCCAACTTTTTTATAAATGGTTTACATAAGTAAAATGATCTCTTTCAATTCCGCAGTCTAAAAGCCTTCAATACTCTCTCTTTATGTTTTCCAGAGTGTTTGTGATAACCCATCTTTGTTGTCTGTCTGTCTGCCGTGGATAAACTGATAAAGTCCTGCATGTGCCAAAGGTAAATCCTAATGCCTCTTGTTGCTCTGAAGACTGTTCCCTAGCCAGTTTGGCAGTGTTTCTAAATTCCTGTTACAGGCAGAGTGGGATTTAGAAGCATAGAGAAACTTACCTTTTTAGGGAAGAGGGAAAAAGCTGCTTGAAAAGTTTTGTCCAGACAGAAGATGAATACAAGGGGACACCATAGCAGTGTTCTGGGCTGGGCTTCAGTATTTACAGTTAGCTCCTAGATGGTGCTGTGGAGCAGTGTTCAGCCTAGCAGCCGCAGCTAACCAGCATTCGAAATGACAGCTGTTCCGCGCAGTCAGGTGCTGTTCAGTGTGTATCTGCCACTCTGATGATACCTTCTAGAGGTCTGGTAAAATAGCCTATGTGCCAGTTGCCAGTTCTCACCAAGCCAGAGAACGATGAACCGTTTCATCAAGGAACTGTCAGGAAGAAGGGAAGCAGTTCCAGAATGCCCCATTGATTAATGGGTGCAAGCAGTGATGGATTGAAACTTAAATTGGACCTAGGAAGAAGGCCACGTCCAGTTTCTGCCAGGAGGTCTGGAGTGAGGCAAGCAGGGGGATGCGCTCAGCTGCTCCGTTCTCCTTGCCAATGGGAGGACTGGAGCAGCCTATACTTTCTTCAGACTAGGGATCACCCGAGTTTCAGGAAGGGTCAAGGAGTGGAGGAGAGAGGTGGTTGCTGCCTAATGTCTGTACTATGCTTTCTCTCCTGGAATCATTTCTAGTGGTGGGAGTTTAGCTTGCTAGAACTGAACATTTGTATGGGGTCCAAGTCTGCTAATTGAGGCTCTGCCCAGTACAAGCATGCATGCTAGAGCCTTCCCCTTTAGCTGTGGAAAGTCCTGCTTTGCCAGGTAACATTAGCTCCATCAATCTCTGGGTAATGTCCCCAGAAATCTACAGCGCCATACTTCATGGGTCCATTCTTGGCCTTTCTTGCCCAAATGAATGGGTTCTGTCTTAATTTACCCCTGAAAATGAGCAAATACTGGCTTTAGGCTCAACTTATTAAGGTCAATAGAGACCATCTGTTGTAAGATGTACTTTAATTTTAAATTTGAATATAGACTGCAGTAATTGGTGTAATTTATTCCTCCTACTAAACTTAAGCCATGGCATGTTTTAGTATGTCTGTCTATACATGTGTAAGTGACATTACTTTTAAATAACACCCACAGCCTTTCATTAATAGCAGCATAACATTTGGTGATCACCATGACAGGAGAATAATATTAATCTGGAGCTTTCTCATGTAATTACAGGTGTGGAGCCATAACTTTCAGGATGTATCTTTCTCACTGTAGAACACAATTTAGTCCAAAGTTAGGATTTGTGGTTTGGGAATCCTAGATAAGGGGACTGAAAACATCCCAACACAATATGCTTGTGTTAAATGGGTTTAATTAACACTAAATTGAGGCACGAGTCCTTTCAGCAAGACAGATTCCAAGTTATAATGTTGATTTTTAGAAGGTTTTTGGGAAAGGAAATTATTAGATAATAAGCCTTCAGAAACAGTGTTTGGAGTTTCTGAACTGCCTAGCCTTCACTTCTGTAATGAAACTGAAGAGAAATGAGAGCACTTGCATCTTCTCAGATGAACAAATTGCTAGATTTTTTATTGATCAGGGATGTGAAATATCCCCATATTATATTAGTCTGTTCAAGCAGGTTTCTATCACTTAGAGATTTATTTCAGATTCTTTCTACATTAGGCCCCAATTCAGCAAAGTACTCACAAACATAAGTAATCCCACCAATGGTAATTTTAGTGGTTAAATGTTTAAGAATTGCCTTATTTATTGTTAACTAAATGTTCCCTTATATGCATTTTAGTTTGTACAGAAAATGATACTAATTTAAGCTTTTGCCATTCTTTCTGTTTTCTTCTAGCCATGATATGTCTCGTCTCTTGGAAGCCATTAGTTCATTGGGTATCTAGTATTTGCTTCATTCATCCCAGTAACCTTCACACACAGTCTACTTTGCTGTTTCACAAGGGTCCTTTATTATACAGGCCCTTGGTACCATTATCACAAGTCTAGTCCTTTCTTATTTCCATGGGAGATGCCTATATGTAGCTGGCAAAAAAAAAACAACTTATGTTTTGTCTCTCTCTCCCTTGAAAAAACTATTGCTATAGTCACTGACTGACTAGGTCAGTAGCAATGTCCTAAGTACAACAGTAATCAGTTTTGACATGACAAAGATGAGGGAATCCCGTGGCTCTATTGGACTTCTTTCTAGCCATCACTGAGTACTGGAGGTTCACAATCCTCAAACAGTAACAGTATTTCACACTGGTCTTAACATCCTGCATTTTCAAAGTGTTGATTCAGATATTTAACTCTATAATCTTTGCATGCCACTGTGAAGTAGGCATTCTACAGATGAAGAAACAGCTACTGAGAGGTTAAAATGACTTCCCAAGTACCCCACAGCAAGACAGTGGTAGAGCTGAGATTACAGCTCGGGAGGTTCGAGCTTTCGCTGTACTACAATGCTATTTAAAAAGGTCACATCTCAAAATAGTACAGAAAGTTCCAGTCTGTTATTGATAATGGCCTAACAAAGGGCTTTAGCTGTATTCATGGGTCTTTGTATAGTGCAGCTTTAATAATCTCAGTATAGGAATTGTACAGTTCCATTGTTATGGGGCAGCATTGCTTCCATAGCTTTCTCTGTATGATTCATATATGTGTGTTTGTGCATTTTGTTGTCAGACAGACTTAAAATTAATATAGGTATTAAAAAAGTAGATACCGATTAATTTCTTAATTAGAATTTATATTCAATGACATATTTGGTATAGGGCTAGGTATATTTGTATCTTACAGGGTTTATACATGTGCTCTAGGAGTGCGGGGGAGGGAGTCACTGTAATTAGAACTGCTCTGAGAGCTGCTGTAATTAAAGTGCCTGGAGCATCTTGTGTATTAGCATCCCCCCACTTAAAAATGGTGGCAGGGGTGTTTTAACTAAAGCTTTAATTAAGGTGCCCCATGCTGCCATTTTAAAGTGCAGGGACACTGATACATGAGTCTGCTGGAGCGTGGTAATTACCATGCTTACAGTGTATGCACGCATTCGCTCATGTATAAGTACTCTTATAGACTAACTAAATTAGGGATGTATAGCATTACCTTGCACGAGCCTGAGCTCACTTCAGATGCATCCTTTTTCCTGGCTCTCTTCCCTTTTTTAAGGGCCAAGTTTCAACCACCTTCCCTGCTCCCACCCTATTCCTTTCTCATTACCTTCCAGCTCCCTTTCTTCAGCTGCTTCACCTAATGTTGCATTTGGTGAAATGGGCTTGAATTCAGAAAAGCTTATGCTATGTATCTCTGATGTAGTTAGTTTGTAAACTACAAGTCTACCCTGCTTTCTGCCTGAATTCAAACTAACAGGGCTAACTACCTCTTTCTGCTCATATTTGGTCTAATCATTTCTTGTATTTTGTATAACTGCTGGAGCCCAGCTTGTGCTGCATTAACACAGCAGAAGCAGCCACCCCAAGGCCACTTAGAATGGTCCTCAGTCTGTCCTGGGGGATGAGATGGCACTGGATGTCCTAGGAGAATGGATACATCGTCCCCTGTCTGGCCATGTGGATATTTCTCAGAAAAAAATAATAAATACAGGACCAACTGGTAGTATGGTTTTCTATTAATTTCTGCCTGGGATGAGCTGGGAAGCATCCATGGCCAGAAAATCTGGTATGGGCCCATGTTACCTGGTAGCCAAGTGTGGGATGGGAGCTGGACCTCTAAGGGTCTACTATTGTCTGGATAGACGGTGTCTATGCATCTGGTTCTGACCTCCTTCCAGCCTCTTAAGTTGGATGTTGGCCTTGGGCCTTTGATGCACGGAAGAAAATCTCAACGTTCATTATAGGGCTAGATATGGGGAAGAAGGCAATGCTATCTGTAGTCGATTCTCGTGCAAATGTGGACCCCCTTATGAAACCCACCCTACAGATTTTCCAAGGAAAAGGAGAATCTGGTATTATCTGTATTCCAACTTTCCCTTCTGTACTTTTTTGTCTCATCTAAAATACAGTAAAATATCTTAAAATGATAATCAGCTGTATAATGTACCAAGATTTTGGCTTGAACGTCATTCTTACTGTAAGGCTTCCATTTCTTGTTCTTCTTCCAGGCAAACTGTCTGAATCCTGAGTTACTTAGAAAATTCAAAATACATTCAGCATTGAGAAGTAAGTATGGACTTTGAGGTTAATTTGTAACTAATCATTTAAGTCTATGCATTTGGGTTGACAGTAGAATGTATCAGCATTTTATCCTAGCCAAATAACTGAAGATTTATAATATAAATTGTAGTAGGAGAAACATGCATAAAGCAAAAGGAGTAATTATATCCATCTACTCAATACAGATTTGGCTTCAGTTTTAGTAGTGTATTCATTTTTGGGACAGTCTCTGTCAAAACAGGCAAACCAGAGAGAGAATTTAGGACAGATGCAAGGATGTGTGAGAGAAATATTCAATATGCAGGAAAAAAGAAGTGTGAAGAAAGAGTTGAGAGAACTTGGTGTGCTTAATGTGGAGGAATAACAACTGAAGGGAATGGGATGTTGTACCCTTGCCTTTATTGCAGCATCTACAGATATATATTAACAAAGCAATAAGGGCTTTTGATGCCAAGTTTTCTTAATGCTTATTGGTTGAAGTAACTGGTTCTGTTATTATAGTTATTAGGAGTACTAGCTGAGCTTCTATGGCCATTGACTTGTGAATAGAACATATTAGAGGTCAAAACATTGGAGGGCCTTGCTCTGAATAGTTCCCAATGGGCAATACACATTAAAAATGGGTATTGCATGTTTAACAACTTTTAAATACTGTTGTGCCTTTTTTTCCCTTTCTAGCTGGCTTGTACTTGTGCCGCAGTTTTTATTATTTGGAATCTGATTAGCCATTTAGAAATGAAGTTGGAAGTTTTGAGGTGAACCTCATTAGTTAATTTAGTTAATGGAACTTTTGGCATCAACTTCAATGATTGATCAAAGATTGAACTGTAAATGCTGGACTGTATTTTTTTTGAGTAGCTTTTAGGTATCTGATCAACCATCTTACCCTCATTTTGCATGCAAATCAAAGCAGTCTCACACCATCAAGCAACAGATCAAGTAAAGGAAACAATATATTTTCCACTGGAGAGACCCCAAAACGTGAGATAATCTCTTGTAGTCAGTATGAAATAATTCACAACAAACTAACTGAATAAAATAGCATTGAGAGTTAGCTCTTCTAGCCTCACTACTTATATGTTCTATACTACTGAAAGACTAGAAAAATTAGAGGGTGGTCCAGTTCCTTGAATTTCATAGTTTATATTTCAGTATCTCCTATTTCAGTTAGTGCTGAATTGAGTCCCTACAGAAAGAGAGCCATGTCTCAGGTAGAAGCGGACCTTTTGTTTTCATGAATGACCTAGTGTTTTTTGACATTAATCTCCCTTCAAAAGAAAGCCATCATATAGCAGCCATTTAATGCAATCTGCATTCCTGCTTGCAGATTCCTGCCATTTCCCTTTTCCCCTTCTTAGAAGCCAAGTTTCAACTGCTTTCACTGCCTCCCTACCTCTACCCTGTCCTTTTCTCTTTTCCTTCCACTTTCCTTCTCCAATTACTGCATCCTGTTCCTATGCATCAGAGCAACAGAGTTTCCTATGTATCAATGTATAGAGAGAAGGTGAGGAAGTGTCTGCTAGGAAAACGCTTCTAATTTCTGCACATAAGGAGGGCATAGTGCAGGCAGTGGTGTATTAGTTTACAACATTCACCAAATGCTAAGTCTTACTGTTCTGTTTTTGTCTCATTCTGAAACACTTGATTCATCTGTTGTCCAAGTGCTTGGCAGTGCTTTTATTTGTTTATAGGGGAACCAGTATTGCTTACTGAATAGACTGGGCCCAGGAGACCTGAGTTCTCTGCTTAGCTCTGCCCCTGGCCTGCTGGATGACCTTGGGCAAGTCTCATCACCTCTTTGTGACTCAGTCCACTTATCTGTGAATGGGGATAATGACACTGAGCTTTAAAGAGTTTACAGCTGAACTGTGCTTTAAGAGATGAGGGAGGTAATTAGCCATGTTAATCTGCAGTCAGGCAGAAGGCAAGGTAGATTTGCACCTTGTAGACTTACTAAATTAGAGACGCGTAGCATAGCATAGGGATGAATCTCTGATTTAGTTAGTTTACAAGGTGCAAATCTATCCTGGCTGCTTGTAAGAGATGGACATCCATTAAATATAACTCAAACTTAAAAGAAATTATTTCCCCAGAGCAGTTGAAGCCACCAAATCCCTCCTCTTCATTCACCACATCTGAATCATCATTACAATACATAACAGGGGTGGGCAGCCTGTGGGCTAGATTCAGTCTGTAGAGCCACTGGATCTGGATAAGTAAAAAGCTGGGGGATTTTGGTGGTGTCCAATAAGTTGTTAAGTGTTGGTAAGTAGATGCTGAAGTCTTTGTCACAGTGGCTAGAAACTGTAAATAGAAATCCTGAATGCTGGTCAAAGGAATGGAAAGCTGGCAGTTCATCTGGTTTTGAATTGCAAAGGCAGGTTCTGAGGATTGGTTGTGCCCCATACAGTCCTCCCAAGTAGGGTGCTGTGGGTCAGTCATTAAATATTTCTTGTGTCATCATCAGAGAGGAAGTGACCCACTATGGGTCATAGTGCTGGCCCACCTCAGACCTGAGCTGGGTTTTTCCAGCCCACCACTAGTAAGATGCTGCCAATGCCTGATATACAGTATTTCGACACTAATCACTATGATGTGCTATCAAGGTTACTGCGGGATCCAATATACAGGTAGTTAACCCAGATTACATGCATGTGGAGAGGCTTGTACTTCGGACACACGAGCTGGAATTTGGGAACTGCGACCTTCTCTGCTGGAACCGCAGCAAACCAGAGTGGATCAAGCAGTATAGGGCTACATGCTTGTAGCTGTTTCAAACTGGAAACATTTGGACCCTTTCAAAATTGTCTTTAGCTTTCATTGGTTTTAAGGATACCAATTTCTCTGGGGGTAGGCAGTACTGGAGTAGGAAATACATTGTCCAGTGGTCATCAGTGTTAAAGAGTTAATCAGAAGTGCCTCGAAACACTTGATACAAAATGCATTTTAGCAAGTGTAGTCTCTACCTGCTGCTGTAAGCACAGAGGATGCCCAGACAGAAGGGGTCTAATTTACACAAGACTTGGGCAACTTCAGATCACATTGGCATCAACTGGAGCTGAGTTATTCATCTCTTAAAACCCAGTTCATGTAATAAAATCATGTCAGCTTATGGTAGGTTTGTTTTCACATCTTGCTGCTGATGCTCTTGCCTCATTTCTGCTGGTCTGTGGATAGGAGTAGCACAGCATAGCTGGCTGCATGCAGTGGGAGTTAATGCAGTGTAATGTACCAAGATTTACAGGCAAGCTAAAAGGAGCAATGCTTTGTTGGTTTTTTTGTTTTGTTTTGTTTTTTTAACAGATGTGTCCAAACATGTTCTGTGGTTCTACAAAGCCAGCTGGGGAGGAAGAACCAGCAGCATACCTACAGGCTGGGGAACTCCCTTCTCGTCAGTACAGAGGCAGAAAAGGATCTTGGAGTCATCATTGATGCCAAGATGAACATGGGCCGGCAGTGTGGGGAAGCAGTCAGGAAGGCCAACTGCGCCTTGTCATGCATCCACAGATGCATCTCAAGCAGGTCCAAGGAGGTGATACTCCCCCTCTGTGCGGCACTGGTCAGGCCGCAGCTGGAGTACTGCGTCCAGTTCTGGGTGCTGCGCTTCAAGAGGGATGTAGACAACATGGAGAGAGTCCAGAGGAGGGCCACTCGCATGACCAGGGGGCAGCAGGGCAGACCCTATGAGGAGAGGCTCAGGGACCTGAACCTGTTCACCCCCCACAAGAGAAGGCTGAGGGGGGAATTAGTGGCCTGTTACAAACTAGTCAGCAGGGACCAGCAGGCATTGGGG